GGAATGAGCCTGAAGTTAAATGGACTTGCAATAGACCCTTGGAAGAAACAGAATTGCTTCTTGGTCCCTAGTGTACTCCACTATTTTGATAGCAGAAATATTTGATCCCGTTTGATTTAGGCACTAATAGCCGCAATTTTTTAGACGCTAAGAGATGAGGGGTGTCTGTGCGTTCCATCCATTCGCTCCTTGGCGTTCCACTCTGTGATGTCCATAGCGTGCTATTTTGCCAATGTGGCTCCCTACCAATTATCGTTTTGTTGCAGCAACAGTTTTACCTTTCCACTCTCACTTGATTTCGTTGCTAACTTTTCTTGGGAATGTTTCATCTCCCATCCCACCATCTTCGTACTTGACTTTCTGAGAGGCCTCATTTCTCTTCATTTTTCACGTACGTATGTATGTATGTATCTTGTGCTCTTTTTTGCTCAATCAATCCTTGTGTCACTTCCATTCCATCCCCATTTTTCCTGAATATCTATTTCCCAGGATAAAGAGGGATGAACTTAATTACTTAGTTATGAAAATATAACTAATGGTGGAAGTGACAATCATCTAGACACCTGAAAAATTTCTCACCTCAGGTGCCCAAACAGCCTTATTGAGGATTTTTAACTGCTATCTGATACTTTATTACTTTCAGATTGGCTCGTTCGATCTTATCATTGTGAACGAAGTGACACATGAAATTAGCGACCTGGCGATATTTTTCAAGAATTTAAAACTTCTGCTTAAAGGTGTGTTGTATACCGTTTGAGAAACTACAGAGGTTACTGAGTAATTTTTCAAACTCATTTCGAGCAATTTCAGACAATGCTCCTCTTGTGGTCATCTCTAGACCGAAAAACCCACCACTTCCCATCCCTGAGTGCTGCCTGCTATTGTGGAGAAAACTTGCTCCAACAAGGGAAGAGATTGTAGCGGCTGCTAAAGCGGTATGTTATAAGTGATTCAAAATGAAAACGACTTTCAAGAAGTTTTGGCGAGAAGGGCAAGCTCTCGACCGTTCATCATCGCTTTTACACCAACTTTATCTCAGGATCGTGGAGACATTGAAATTCTATTTAGTATATACCACGACTTACGTTGCCCATCCAATCAGCGTACTAATACATATGATGATATATTTTTCCCATTAGTCCACTGCCTAACTAGGCTACTCGAGAAAGGATAGCTTGCTTGGCCTATGCGGGATCCTTTCCTCGAGCTATGCGCATGGCGGACGCGCCCCAACCTCCGACCTCAGCGGCGGTGTAGTGAAGTGGCGTCGTTTATCGAGCGCACTGTCTGCGGGATCCCACGAGCCAGCAGCCTGTCCGAGTGATAACAGATGGAAGATGTGAAAGACAAAAAGTCTAAATCAGCCGTAAAATACGGCTACGCTGATCATAATCATATCAACGATTAATATGCAATGAGTAGTATTTCAGGATGTTATCAACATAGGAAATTGTCCCAGGATTGTCAGAGAATGACGTGTTCAAAGACGCAAGTAGGTATTATTGAGGCGGACTAGTAATGTTGTGACATGTTGACTATGATGGACTCTCTTCAAACGCGGAGTTTACGATGAAAAGACCTCCCATTAGAAATTAATGTAGAGGTGATCACGGATGAAGAGAAAAACCATGTGAAAGGACCAGAACCCGAGAAATAGGACCCTTCGACCTGTGCACCTGTGTATTTCCACACAAGAGCGATTTTTACTGATGCTGACGAATCTCTGATCACGTCTCTGCCAGAGCGTAGAACACGCGCCTAGAGTCCGTGACAAGACTTAGGTCAGTTTGGCGGGGCGCAGCAGCGGGAGAAGTAGGGTGCGATCCAGGCTTCGCTGCAAAAGGCGCAACACGGCTCCAAGATAAACGCTGCATAGGTAGATCTATCGTCATCCTGAAGAGCATTCTCTGCCACAGAAAATGAATTCCACAATCTCCAAACTTTCTATGATAATGAAGGTAAACCATTGAAGTAGCGAATTTCAAGAGGTAACGTTTAGGGACAAGTATTACGCCTCCAAAATATTCTTTTTGATGAGTATGGTACCGTAAGCACGTCAATACGGTCCCCCTCCCCTTCCCACCCATAGGCTTAATTGAAATATTGTAATTAAAAAAAAGTCGTATGAAAATGCCGTGATATCTTTGCTTTTAGCTTTAGCGGCTTGTTCTTTGGCTACTCTTCACAAAATCCCGACCCTCTCCACACAAATCTATGTGCTCTTACAAATTAGGGGAGAGCTGTCAATTCACCTCTTCGTTTTTATCTCAGTCAAAGCTTCTACTAATTTGGCAATTTGTCGCATTTTAAATGACGTAATATCAATGCATTCGAATATCTTCCAGGCTGAGATGAATCACACCTGCTTTTCGGCGGCTGTTCCTGTTTCAGTCGATCGGTTCGACTGGGAAAAAATACTATATTCAGGTATAGTCGTACGTATTTGTAAATCAAGCGGTTGTATTTCGGTGTATTATTTTTCCATTTCTATTTTTTTGCATTTCGAAACTATGGTATTGCTTGGAAGGCGTGCCTGCACGCGGAAAAGCATCATGTGTTCCCCTAGTTGCAGCCTACAAAGTTTTTGCATGAAATTTACTTCATAAAAAGTCAAGTCTTTCAGAGCCACACTATGTGTGCAGTTGACGGGCCCCTAGGGGGCAGCCGATGGGGCGCGTGGAGCGTACATACGTGGGGCAGCCGCCATGCCCTAGATGACACGTTGTAGGGTGTTGATCTCAACTCCCCAAGTTCATAGAGTAAAGAGGAAGCATATCAGTGCATATTAGCTCAGGATGCAGTAGGAGAATAAAATATTCCTGCCATAGAATAGGACGAATTAAACCTGTTGAGGACGGCTGTCCATAAAAAAACAGCTGATGCCAGCCAACATGGTGACAGTTCTAAGGCGCAAGCTCGAACAACTAGACGAGCAACGATTTCTTGATTTTACTGGATGTTCACCATAACATAAGAAACTGTTGTCGTTTAGAATTCTTATGGCGAAGGATAGGTGTTAAGCGCCACAACTAATGGCAATCATAAAATCATGCGGATTCCCTGAAAGCTTCCTTTAATTCTGAACAAACTCGGCATAGCCTTGGAGGCGAGCCTCGGGATGAAATGAGGGAGCTACCTGTTTGAATATGATGTATTGAATGGCAAGTGAATCATAGGAACACGCTCTTCCTTAGCTGCATAGAAGCCTGGCTGGGAGAAGGATGTGTCCAAATGTGTTTTGAGCAACTGCTTGCTCCATAACATTAATCGGCAAGGTTAAAAAACTCGCCACAGAATACCGCGTTGCTGAATTTCTTATTATTTTCTGTTCCTCAGAATTTTTTGTTTGTTTGTTTCTTCTATCTTTCGATGCTCTTAGAATAAATAACAACGTTCTTAGTAGCGGTCGCAGCATAGGCTTTAGTGTTGATGTTTGCAGTTGAAATTCGGTAAATATTGCCCTACGACCTTTCAAGCACCAGTTCAACGTTAAGCTTCCCCACGTGGTTGCGGAAGGTCACGTGGAACTGTGGACGGGCTAATTGGTACTGGGCGTCGCCAATGCTTTTTAGCTCCTAGTGCCATAGGCTTGTCAAACCATACCTCCATGTCTGCACATGCCCTGCGCTTGCGGGCAACTGCTTATCCCGGGGAAAAGCTAAATTCTGACCAGAAATACCGGACCTTGCCTGCAAGCGCGCTTTAGAAGTAACCCAGTGTAAATGAAGCATAAGAGTTGCGTGGGCAAAGCTAGCATTGCGTTAACGTTTTGTTTTGTACCTATATCGGTGGTTCGTAGGCGTGGACCTCCTGACGCGATAGAAGTTTATTGGGCGTATATGTAGAAGCAGAGCACAAGAAGAAACCGACTGAATCTCAGAGCGATCCACCGTCCTTATATACGATGGATTATGGGCGGGACAATAGCTATGATTACATTCTACAGTACAGATCAGCTAACAGATAACGTTAAGCTCAGCTTACAAGATGAGTCATCCAGAATCTACCAATACAATATGTATATGAAATACATATGAAATAATCACAACCACCAATCAACCATGCTTAAGTCATACGAAAACTAAATGTTATCATAGAGAGTATTCTCTATAGTACCGTAATTTAGGTGAATGTAAAGTAAACACAAATGCTCCCACACTTGATGGAAAAGAGAAACCTGGTGGATCAATCACTTTAGATGCACCATGCGGTGCGGCTTCACTTCAGAATCGCACTGGGATACAGGAGAGTAGCGATCCTTGAGACTTATTGGGTTGTCTCATAATTCCTGTCGCAATTTCGACACTTTTGTTTATCCAAGTTTTATCTCTTCTAGGAAACAACTGATCAATAGCATAACCACCATCATGGTCACTGATATGCGTGCATTTGCTAGTGAGCGTTTGGAAGCTTCCAGCCCAGAATGAAGGAAGCTGGGGGTTGAAGAATTTGGAGAAGTCGTTTTTGGGGTGGTCGCAATCTTTAACTTTCTTCTCTGGCAGATGCTTATTCAGGGCGCAGGGGAGGCGATAGTCCGATAGAGCGATGCCAATGCTATATGGTGGATGAGGTATCGTGGCCCTGGCTATCTCCCTCAGAACGTGGTGAGTTGGCATTGCAATGTGAGGTCTGGCGTACATTCGGAGAAAGGAGAATCTGAGACGTTTCTGACGATTCCCTCGCAACCCCGAAGCCAGCCTAGAGGGCTATTCCGCTGACTTTAGCAATGCTTGTCTTCATACATTGAAGTGGTTCCCAAACCAGGCCACCTAGCGAATCCAACAAAACGAGAGCGATATTCTCAGAAAACGGAGTTCGGGCTTTGGTTGAGCTGGTGCTTCCTGGCTGCGAGGCAGCCATCAGACGTGCCGCATGTTGTTGTCGCAGTGGACTCATGACTCATTTCCACTGGTGACCGATTAGGGAAGGCTCTGCTTTTGCCGTCCCAGAATGGATTTTCCCCAGATGGTCAGGCGTGCTTCCCGCTCATGGTCGGCCGGACCATAAGGTTTCCATCAAAACTTCATTCTGCAGCAGTCCTTGCCATACTGATGGCGTGTGCTGGTGCATCGGCTGCGCTCAGGTATCTGCTACAATACCCTGGTAGCAACGTGCGGAGGCACTCCCAATTTAGGGTGCAAGGGGCGCTCATCAAAAATGACCGCAGGCCTTCATAGCTCGTTTCGTCTTTGCCGTTGCGATTGGACCACTAGCTCAGTACCCTATCAGTAGCAGAGACTGGGTCAAACACAGCGCTGGTCTTCTCTGTTGTCCTCCTTGCTACAGAGTTCATTTGAGGATCGTAAAGCATAATCATTCATTATAGTCACTGACCTATTTTTATTCCTAGTTGATTAACCCGTTAGGGCTTGCGTTTCCGAAACCATGCTGTTAAGGCTCTTGAAGCATACTTCAACATACTAACGTATTTCGCAATGAAACGGTCTTAGACGGATGCTACAGGAATTATGAGTCAACCCAATATTTGCTCATGGTACCTCTGATGATGGTGCTATGAAGTAGTGTATTTGAACCGCTAGTATTTTATCAGTCTTGGCTCTGTAGAATGTCTTAATATGATGTCATTATTCAATTTATAGTATGAATTCACTGCTACACAAAAATATTTTCAGGCTGCTTCCCTGCCGTCAAAAATACTGTGAAGTGCACCGAAAAGGAAATAAAGGATTACTGTAACAATCTTTCGAAGACGCTGAAGTTCGAGGAGAAGATGAATATTTTTTTACTGAGGAAGGAGGATGTATAGGCTTGACTAGAAATTATGCGAACACTTGATGTTTATTAAATATGACTGATTAAATCAACAACTTATAATGCTACTTTCTGTTCTAACACGAAGTCGCATGACTGACTGACATGATCAACAAACTGTCATCAGAAAGAAGACTCCCAAATATTGGGTTGATGCATAATTATTGCGGATTTTTTAAACAAATTTTATTCAGCGAAAACGAAAAAATATTTAACAAAAACATGTTTAAATAATTATTCCGGAGCGTAGTCACCATCCTTCAAGAATGCTTCCCATTTGCTTGGCAGTCGGTCGATTCCACGGTGGAGAAGTCACGATTCTTGGAGACGATCCACGCTCTAACCTCGGCCACCAAGTCATCCAGCTCGTCGTAAATTTTGCCAGTTTTTCAACGACTGATTGAAGTGGCAGTCTGTAGGAGCTTTGGTCGGTAAATGTGACGTTTTGAACCTCTTGAACCATCTTTCAACTTGGCTTTTGCTAATTGTTCCCTCGCCGAAAAGTTCGTTGAGATCGCAAATGACTCTGCCGCCTTCCAACCTTTCTCGAAGTGGTAGAGCATATATGGCGAATATGAAGATGATTTTCGATAAGCATTTCTGTTAATGAAAGAGAGAAGAATATTTTCATGAACAAATAATAAACAAAACGCCAGTCTTTCAGAAGAAAGAGGGCGCGAAAAAAAATCGCAAAAAATATGCATCAACCCAATATTTCTGTAGGCGAGAAGATGTTGATCAAAAGGTTCACATAAACTTGAACATCGTGGTCCACCGTAAGAATAGAGTAAGGTTGGGAAAATTACGTGTGTTTGCTGACACAATCAGCAAAAATGCTTTTGATACTCTCTGCGGCGAATGATAAAATGTTTTGGTTTTAATTAGATACAATGAAAACGTCTTTTTGATGGAAATTTCACTGTAAGACCCATTTATCATTTTTACGTATTGACCATCGCTGGAATTGCTTTGTATAGTATTAAGGCGTGAGGAAAGTTCTTGCGCTTTTCGGTGTTCCTTTTTGAACGCTTTATTTTGTTCCGACATCAAGTAAGCTGCCACGTGCTATATGTGGTTTTGAAGAGCTTTTCTTGTTCTATCTAACAGCTAGGCTAGCTATGTTCTTATTCATTTAGTTGTCATTTTTTGAAGCCTTGAATACGGCATACTCCAAGAGCAAATTTGCATGATTTCCTTTTTCTAGCTCAAAGCAGGCCAGTATGGAGAGGAAGCAGGTCAAGATATTATAGACGCACTTGGCTGAGATTCGCAATAAATATGGTCTGAAGCAATTGTTCAAAAAGCTTTTGTAAGAATAGCGAGAGCCCTAAAGATTGTGAGGGTGGTGGTCGGAGATTGGACAACGCCAACGATTAGTCGAACGTTCTGGTTGAAGCACGTTTGCACAAAACTATTGAGAGGGTTCCTCCTAAACTAATCGCACTTGCATTGTGTTTTCTTGTTGTACGGGAAGAGCTGGAAAGTCCCAAAAATTCAAATAGGGCGTGCCGCGACAGCTCACCATTTTGAAGGGTCGTTCGCCGCTTTCTAGCTTGTTTTATGCCATGAAAACGACCTGACTTTTTATCATTTGCGACATACGATGAAGAACTTATTCTTCGCTGCACCATACCAACCTGCTGAATGGATCGACCACGGTCGGCCACCAAAAACATCAACGGGACGACAAGTGATACATGTGATACTGGTAACACATGAGTGATTCACGCATCGCCGCACACCGTACTCATAACACACTTCTCCAGCAAAGTCTTTCAGCGTGGAGTAAGAACGCATGACCGATATTCGGTATGAGCTCTACACTTACATTCCGTCTCATTGACCTCTGAGATGTGGTGAGCAAAAACGTAACCAATCTACTCCGTTCGTTGTGAGACTGTCTCAACACAGCAAAATCGCAGGGATAACATAATAACATTAAGGACCAGAAACCAAGTGGAAGGATAGTGGAGGTCTGAGGACGAACTTACGATAACGGATGGAAGGTGTTTTGTTCTCGACGCCCTGCCAGAGGCCATCATTCTCAAACTGACGTCATCCAGGACATCGCACCCTAGCCTAAGTTGCATGAAATGTGCAACTTAGGCTAGGGTGCAAAGCAGGGTGAATATCGGTCGAGGAAATCCTCGACAGGGGGGTCGTACCTGTCGGGCTGGTCATGGGGGGTCGTACTCTTGGGGGTCAGTAACAGCAGTGGTATCGTGGTGCAGATAGGTAAGAGGGTATAGCGCAGCAGAAAATGAAAATATCTGAAAAAAAACATGATATTAAATTTTCTTTGCAGGTTCAGTCGCTCCATTCCTCCACCTTCATGAGAAGGGCGTATTTGAAGGCAGTACAAAGAATGAAAGTGCATCCCCGCAAAGAAGACTGCCACATGTGCGCACGCGCTGCAAAGGCACCTCCTCTGCCTATCGCTCGCTCCTTCTCCCTTAATACCTCGCTGAGAATGACACTGTTGTTAGGGACCCTGTCGCAAAAACGACAACCGTGAAGGAAAAGCCCTGGGCAAATGAAGTTGTTCTTAGGTTGTAGGAGTTACGAAATGCGTTTACTACAATGCAGCTTCTGTCAACTGGTCATGATCATATGACACCTTCGAATCGATTCTGCAACTTCGAGTGAGGTCGGATGCATGGCCTATACTGTGGATACGAAGTTGATTTGACGATTGCCAGCCCGCTGGGGCCAACAAACAAAAAAAATCTAAAAAAAAGTCCGTCAAGAACCTTTGGCAGCGATTCTTGCTGCACACACACTATTTTCTCATTTCATGCAACCTAGGCTAGGGTGCGAAGTCGTGGATGACGTCAGTTCGAGACTGATGGCCTCTGGTAGGGCGTCGAGGACAAAACTCTCCATCCTTATAGTAAGTTCGTCTTCAGACCTCCACTATCCTTCCACTTGGTTTCTGATCCTTAATGTTATTTATTATGTTATCCCTGCGATTTTGCTGTGTTGAGTCTCACAACGAACGATTGTTTTGCTCACCACATCTCAGAG